ACCATCTTTTCCCACTGGAACCAAGCAATTCGGGCCAGTAGAAAGCCATCCCAGCCATCGAAAAACGGTCCGCACGTACCACACGATCGTGGAGGTGTCAACAACGAGAGGATCTGGGAGGGGATCTAGCCCGATATCCTCGGCACCCTCGTCATCCTCGGCATCCTTGCAGTCATTGTTCGAATCGCCTCGGATCTGATAGAGACCTCATGGGCCCCATGAAGAATAGGAATTGGGCCTTGACCTAATGCAACATCTAATGCAATTATCTTGTAGTATTGGAGACGACACTACGAGCAAGGGCGTCCTTGACGTTGGAAGAAAGCATGGCAATGACACAACGGTCGCAATGACATGGCCCATTCTCGCATCCCGCCCAATGGTGGCCAGTGCATTTTGGCCAAATCAGAAATGCAGCAGGGTGAGACCATGATCGCCAGTGGCTGCCCTCCTCAACCTTTGGCCTGGGAATGGCCCTCTATTCCACTCGGCTCCACGAGTAGTGTAGTTGTACTGCACACAATGTAGCCATGCCACGCCTGTCGAGCGGCCAGATGGATTTGGATATTTGGGCAAGATCTGGTAGCCGCGGCTGCTGGGCTGGGCAGATTGGCGCCGCTAGCACAAGGAATGGCTCTTGAATTGTATCCTTGCCTATATGCACTCCTATCCATGCTGCGGTTCAGCCCCAGGCTTGGGAACGTCCATTTGCGGTCATCGCAGTTGGACGGCCGCGCTTGGGCGCCGCAGCGGACGCCGTTCGGCGATATTTCCGTTGTTGAGCACGCCCCGGAACTGCAATTGGACCAGGCCGACCGCGCGGGGGAGGAAGTGTTATGCACAAGTCTCCGATCTCAGACGCCAGAGGACGGAGACCTCAGTTAGGAGACACGAGTTCCAGAAACGCGGGACGTAAGGCTAGCCGGTCCTACGCCAGAACCAAAAACCACCCAAGACTAGGGGGAGTCATCAACAGGGTCACACAGCATCCAAATGCAGTGGTTCCGTCAACTTTGCAAAAGAACTGCACGTGTCTGCAGAGGCGGGCTTGCGGCGACCGTCCACGACCGTCCACTCAGCGTCACGCATCCACCAAGAGCGCCCGCCAGGCACGCCTATGAATTACGGCGTTAGTATCATCGGTGAATGCCAAAATCCCAGGCATTCGGCAGTAATCCGCATATCTGGCCGGCCGCCGCGGCGGCCTCAAGGTCCCGGCTCCGTTGGTCGGCTCGAGGAGTTCGATATTGAACACCTTGGCGCCCCCAAATGTCCCACTAGTATACACCCGCTGATCGCAACGAAGGGTCCTCGTAGGGCCGCTACCAAGGGACGTCACCAAAGCCGAGGACCCATTGAAGAATCAGCTCAGGGCCTGTCTTGCATAGGGACCTGAAAGGGAGAGCCTGGAAAGCCAGAAAAAGACCAAACAGGTGACGACTCGCTGCATTGTTCACCGAGAACACCCTAATAGGCCCCCTCCGGATGTTGTCCATGTTCGCAGATGCCTGCAGGCAGGACCTGGTGTGACCTCAGGTGCTGCGTGCTGTGCAATAAGACGGGCAGTGGCTCCTTTCTTGGGGGAATACCTAGCTCCCATATACCCCACCTGACCTTGCTTGCTGCTTGCCGACTCCACTGCTGCGTCTTGTCTTACGTCTTGAGTATCCGCAACTTCTGCTTCTACACTCACCACATCTCACTGGATCTCTTCCTTAACCTGGCCGTCTGCCCTGGGTGACTCGACGACTGGACGGCTCCATCTTGGTGCTCCTGCGTTCACTGCTACTGCAAGGACTACGAGTTGCGGGGGGGATCGCGGGAAGCCAGTATCGCAATGTCTCGGGCGCGGGCCAATCGCTTGGGATCCCAGGTATTCCCCCATTGTCTGCATGTCTCGCAGTTGCAGCGGCAGTCACTCTGTGTGTGTGGTGTCTTGATCCCGTTGATCGGTTTGCAACCACCCGACTACCTCGACCACACACACACACACACACACACACACACACCTGCAAACAACTGGGGCGCCGCAACTGGAACCCCTGCCAGCACCGCCTCACCATGGCTGACTGACTGTATGTTTCTCACCGTCGAGCAACTCACCTCCCGTCATCCGCTTAGTCAATCTGGCCAATTGCCGCCAGCTGTTTTGCGCCCGGCGAATCGAGAGACGTCGTCGCATCGAGGGCGAGACGGAGTCGCCGGGCGGGCCTTGAAGCACCCGGATTCTCACGCTGCTGCAACAACACTGCAACAGCGCTGCAACATGACCAAAATGATTTCATCAATTGCCCTCGGCCATTGTGGATGAAGGTCCCAAGGTCCAAGGTTCGTTCAATCCCGCAGCACCTTGCACCGAATTTTAGGCAGAAGCTCATCACTCAGGTAGGTCCTTGACCCCTGTCACGCCTTCGGTGCCTGCCAGTGCCTGCCAGCGTTTCCCCACGCCCTGTGGACTCAATTGTCAACAGGCGTCTAATGACCTCCCAGTGCTCTCCGCGGACAACCATCATCGCCTATGCTTTTGGTCCTTGGACGGCTCTCCACCATTCATCCCAACCACCTCCACCATCACCACCTCTACCGGGCGTTGCCTTCTTCATCTCTCGCAGGCAGTGACAGTCCATGCCCACGCTGCGTGCACTTTACTCGTACTCAGATTTCGGATGACTCCCAGTCTGCTCTTTCATGCTCTTGCACCAACAGGTTTTCCAACCTGCTCCGCATCAAATGGGAACCTGGGTCGGAATGAACCGGTGCATCCGGGCGAAGTCGTCCTGCTGACCGGTGTCGAGTTGCGTGTTATTGTTATTTTTGATCCATTCATCACATCACATCACGGCTGGGCAGTTCGCCCGGGACCCCCGTTCCGCGCGGACTCTGCAAGCTCCAGGCTTGAAATCCGATGAGGACCAACATGACAAGGCAGGTTCATGTTGCATAATGTCCGCGTCTCCCGACTCCTCCTCCAGCGTTGATCTCCTTACGAATCCAAAGCCAACGGAGGAGACGACGTCACGTTGCCCAGAGCCGTCTGACTTTCCCTCCGAAAATCGTAGCCCCCATCGTGTATGACAAAACCCCAGGCAACCGACATAGCATCATCGCACAAACACATTCCAGGTGCAGTCGTGTTGCAATTGACAGATCCTGTTGAGCCTCATATACTCTGATCCTTGGGCCATGTTACCCAGAGCATGTTACCCAGAGCATGTTCAGCATATCCACAGCCACTCCAAAGTTGGATGGGAAACAGAGAAGCGGCACGATTGAGATACACGATCGAGCCGAGATTGCCAAGATTGCCCTTAACCAAGTGAATCAACGCGGGACAGACTGCCGTTGGCCCCCATTATTGTCCCGCACGGCTCCTGCATTCACCACCACAGCCTCCCACAGCCGAACAGGTGATAGATAAGCCACATTCAGGCCGTTTCTATGCGAAACCTGTCGTCTAATCTTCACCACTTTACCAGTCGCTTGTCTACCCCATAGTTTCCTAGATCCAACCGCCTGGCCCCCACCGCCAACTCATGGCAGCGGCCTAGATGCCGTCCTGTTACACCGTTTCGAGTCCAACGGCGTGTCTAGCACGACTTGTCTCCGGCATATATCTTGGAGGTGTATGCTCGCTTCCTCCTGCCGTGCGACGACGCATAATTGCAAGATTAGCAACCCATAGGGGAATTCGGACCTCGTAGCATTTGGGCTCTGCCTAATCCAACAATAGAGCAAAGCTGAGAGCTGAACTCGCCCCGGCACCGTTTCTCTCGGCCCTTCTCTCCGTTTTCTACTACCTCCTACTTGGACAACGGGCTTGATAGGGCAATGCCAATCTACGACCCGCGGCTGCCTTTCAGCACCTTTCAGCACCTTTCAGCTCAAGGGGTGAGGCGAAAAGGGGCTGGACGCTACAATAGGCATTCGGTTAGGCGCACTCGTCTATATTGTTTCACATGTTATCTTTGCCTACCATCTAGCTTCACCGATACGCAAACCCTTTACCCCTTGGTCAGCCACCATAACCTGCTCGAGTCTAGTCTGGTCGTGCCGTCTTACCCCTGATTTGAACATCTGACCTACGCCGCCGCCGCCCCAGAGTCCGCATGTACGTCATATCCATCATCGCCCATTGTCGAGACCTCGGCGGGCCGGACCGGACGGGATGGAGCCCGCGGCGTGGACTCGTCTTCAGAATGGCCCCCTCTGCCTTTCTGTGCCCGTCATCTGCCTATTTTCCCTCGCCCCATACAACCCCACATATCCACCCCCAAGTGGTTTCGTCCCTAATCTCACGGTTGTCACAACCTGGTACCGGTACGGCACAAGTACCTGGAGCTCTTTTGCTCAAACAAAACCCGGATCTGCGCCACCTTCACCTGGCGCGTGGATGAGCGGAACTCTCGAAACAGCCCCCATCCCGAGGTGAAGTCCCGAGTAGAATAGAAATATGCCTAACTAAGGCAGCGCGGGTTGATGATGTAGCTAGGCCCGTGTTGGTGGGCGTACAAGACGCTCACCGGGACTCACTCAGACCCGTCATCCTTGTGTGAGTGAGCCGTGGCTGTTATGGTTGTGAGCCCTCTTTTTCTCTTCGTAACCCGACCCGGGCGAAGAAAGGGCTGGTCTCGGGGCCATGTTGTGGTGATTGGCGAGGTGTAAGGGGGTGGGTGAGTAAGGCGAGGGGATCGGGGTGGTGATGAGTCCTTTCTTTTGTGTAACTAACCTTTTGGCTAGGGTAGTAGTGATGATGGACTCGGGAGTGCTGTGAGGTGTGTGGGAGCGAACGGCCTTGGCGCGATACACTTTCGGGCACATACGCCGGGAGGCATACGGGAAGCTTGGTCCCTGTCGTCTTGCTGCACTTGCCAGGAGTTCGGGCAGGAGCCAGAACTCCATCCTGACTCCATCCTGACTCCATCTTGACTCCATCTTGACTCCATCCTCGGCACATTCGTAGATCGGGTTTAGTGACACCACTACATAAAAAAGCAATACAAGGGCGTGTGGTCTAGAGGTATGACATTCGCTTCGCATCAAAATTACGCTGTGAAAGGTCCTGGGTTCAATTCCCAGCTCGTCCATCTCAATGCAGAAGTTCACCAAGGCTACTTGGTAGCTTCACTTTTGCATTTTGGTGTTTTGTGTGCGGGGATTTGGTGGGTGGGTGGGTAGGATATGGCTTTTGCTTAGGGGCTTGAGCCAGGCCCGGGTGGCTTGGAGGCTGAAAGGATGAATGAAAGCGGGATGAGGATGGAGGAAGATGAGAAACGGGGATGGTAATCGTAGGATATGTATGGTCAGCCATTGATCGCTTTTGGACATGCAGAACAACGAGGCGCATCCGTAGGGTATTCTAAGTGCACCACCATCAATCGCCCATCAATATAGGATAGGAGGGATACAGATGGACAGCCAGATACACGGAGAAGGATATACCTTCGAGAGCCACTGGCACTCCGTTCGCCAGAGGAAGGGGTGAGGAAAAGTAAGACTTACCCACACACTCACACAACGGAGACAGCTCATTGACAAACATCAAACCACCCAACTTTTCTTCCTTGTATCTCTATGTCATGCCGGAAATGCAACACCTGAGAGACTTTTTCTCGCTCCCATCGAGAAGAGCGACACGGAGAGGTAGATGTGTCCTCTGAACAGACCCAAACACCGAGTCAACACACAAAGAAACACCGAGCAAGAAGAACCGTGTATAGTAGTGTAATAAGCACGCGGCCAGTCCGTCATCATCCGCCCAGCCAGCCCGACAACCACAGCAACCACAGCAACCACATGAGAAAGGTAGCAGCCGCAGCTGTGATAATAAATATGTAGTGGTAGTAATTGCAGCAGCACCTGACACTAGGAGTCTTCTCCGACAGTAGAAGTAGAAAAAAGAGGAAGACAAGACACACGCAATGCCATGCAAAATGTGGTATCATCATCCCATCCCATCAACAAACACACCCGGCAACATCATTTCGTTTGCATTGGGTTTCTCTATTTCCACCCAGTCCATTCCAGTTCATTCCCTCCAAAGGAAGGCAGAGCGCGCGCAAAATATAAAAGAATTCATCTCATCTCTTTTCTCACTTCTTTTTCCGTCTTCTTTTTCTTCGTCGCATAGTCGGGGCAGTGCGAAGATTCACCTGCCCCAATCCAAGGTGATTCAATCCCAGTCGTAAACAAGTGTTCCGCGGCCCTTCACAAGGTTCGGCTTGGGATATGGTTCAGTCTCCTTGCTCGGCCCGGCCCGGGCCCAAAATTCCCCACGTTTGACACATTAAGCAAACACTAACTCGCCGCATCCAAGCCATCTCAGTCAGACGCTTCTCTAGCGAATCTTGCAGGCTTGCTGCCTCCTCGTCCTTGGCGCAGTCCGGTCCTAACCTCGCCGGTTCATGGCCGCCGTGGCGCCTGCCGCGGCGAGGTCTTGTTGCTTTGCACTCACGCTACGAGCAGCGGCTCTGGGAAGACCGCTCGCGCCGATAGAGCCCGTGGCAGCTGCGTAGTTGGCTGTCGTGCCGGTACTCGTGCGTTTTATCCCGCCGACGCTGCCTGTTATACTCGAGGTTGTGCTAACCCCTGATGTCCTCCGCGAGACGGCGGCGGCACTAGGCTTCAATGGACTGACGTTACTAACCCCTGTGGCATCTCGTGGCCGCAGCGACGAGCTTGCCTTGGCGGTTGCTGGCGGCTCTGGCAATGGCCGAGGGTTCGAGCTAAGACTCGTGGTTCTTTTGCTGGGGGATGAATCGCGCAGCGAGGACCGGGGGATGGGAACAGCTGTCTTCTGGCCCGTGATGAATTCGTGCCGAATGGCTTCATCGGGCTTCATGCGGCGGTCTGGGTCCCAGCGAAGACACTTTGCTAGAAAGTCCAGGAAAGGCTCGTCATCACACTTTAGGACTTGCTGAAGGGTCTTGGAGGACGGGCGCCGCCGGCGACCTTTGGAGGAGACTGTGAGGCGGGGCTTGCCCATGCTGTCGAAGAACAGCTTCTTACGTGTCGACTTTTCAATGAGGTGCTTCTCGGGCGGGCCGAAAACCTCCATGATGCAAGCCAGCTGCTCCTGTTCGTTCTCGCCGGGGAAAATCGGCACGCCGGTATAGAGTTCAGCCAGAATGCAGCCAAGAGACCACATGTCAATCGGCATTCCGTAGGTCATGCCGAGGATAACCTCAGGAGAGCGGTAAAACCGAGATTGGATATACGTATAGACTTTTTCGTTCTCGAAGCAGCTTGAGCCGAAGTCTATTACTTTGATCTCGGAGTGTAGCGGATGGCGGAGAAGGATGTTCTCCGGCTTCAAGTCGCAGTGAATGACTTTGTGTTGTTTCAGCAAGTTCAAGGAGCTAAGGAGCTGCTTCGTAAATCTGCGGATCAGCTTCAGAGAGTGGCCTCGGAAGGCGTTGGACTTGATGAACTCGTAGAGATTCATGTCGAGAAGTTCTGTGGAAATGCAAAGATGGCCACGGAAGTAGAAACTGTGAGTGAAGTTGACCATGCTATACTTGTTTTTCGGGTCCTAGGAGCCTGTTAGTCGGTTGCTGCCATCACAAACTGCTCTTGCGCTGTACTTACCCATTCGCGAAGCTTTTGTAGGATGTTGACTTCGACAAGAGCTTGCTGATGGAACCGTTTCTTGTTGCGAATGATCTTCACGGCGACCAAAACGCCAGTCTTGTGGTCAATACACCTCACCACTTGCCCGAAGCTTCCCTTTCCAAGAATATCGATGATTTCATATCGGTACGACAAGTGATCACCAGGCACGATCGTATAATCACCGCGGTCATCGTCATAGCCAAAGTTGGGGCTCTCGGACTGAACATCGCCAACCACTTTCGCAGCGTTCTGGGTACCGCAGAAGTAGATATCTTTATAGTCCACAATCTCGCCCCGTTCGTAGATGTTGAGAACAGCGATGCGAATGGCGTCCTGTGGGCTCACACGTTCCTTGGCTGAGGCACGCTTCCGGAGTGCATCCAGTGTCCGAGCCGCCAATTCCGTCTCCTTCCGTCGTGAACCGAGCTTCTTCATTTCATCCTCCGCAACCAGGTCGTCCTTGTCCAGATCAGCGGTCCATACGTCGTGATGCCTCAAGGTGCTGGTCGAGCTCTTGGGCTTCAGGATCTTTTGCACAACGGATGCGTTATATGAGAGTGTTGACCGCTCCGATACAGTATCGAGTGTTGTTTCCTTCTTCGCGGCTAGGCTGTCGCTGCGGTTCCGTTCTTGTGCAATGATGGCGTTCAGACTCGAAGCAGAGCTCTTACGTCTTCGCGATTCTAGATAGGTTCCAGTTCCGTTCGACTTTGTCGAAGGGGTTGGACTGGGGGGTTTCCCTGTCGAGATGTTGTTCAGGGTCGCCGAAATCGGGATCCTTGGCGGCGGCATGGAGTCATGCTTGAAGCTAGTATGGCCATCTTTGTCTCCATGAAGATGGCTCATGCTGTTTTTAGAAGCGCTCCGCTTCCAAGATAAGCTGAGCTTCCGTCGTAGGGAACTAATGGATGACGGAGTGGGCGGCTCGTCTGGGCTGGATAGTGGTGGGGGAGATTTCGTTCCTGCAGGCTTTGTGGTAATTGGCTTCGGAGCCCGCGGGCCAGAAGGTTTATTATGCTGGTGGGAAGGCACATCAGGAACGGGGTCTAGCGGAAGTGTGTAGTCGCCTCCAGTCTTGGAGCGTTTCAGAAAAGCCGACTCCAGATGTCCACCCTTCGGTACCGACGACGATAAGAAGGGTGACATTCCAGATCTTTGAGTCCCGGTCTTCAGTCCAGAAGCCGTGAAAGAATCGGACGAGCTTGTTGCGTCAACTACGGCTGGGCTCTCTCGTCTGCCTCGAACCACAGAGCTGCTACTTCTCAGATGCTGTACGTCAGACCTATCCTCCGCCCGAGTTCTGGTAAAGAAGGTCCCCTTTGACGCCGTCATGGGTGTCGTGGGAGTCTTGGCAATCTGCCTTGTAGGGGGTGGTGACAAGTTTCTGTCCGAGAAGTTTTGCTCCTGTAACGCAGCGATTTTGGCGGCTGTAGGGGTGCTCAACGGCCCCAGAGTAATCGGAGGCAGCCGGAGTGGCTGAAGGTTCTTCTTGGCTTGTGATGCCGAGGACTTTTTCTCTGCATCTAACCTCGAAGTGTGAATCGATTTGCGATTGCTTGCCCTACGTTGAATCTTGACAGGTGGCGGTTCATTTATTGGCACACCCGACACACTCCCAGTCGAATTGCTGTGAACACTGCTCGTATCAAATGCTAGGTTGGATTTCCTTTTGTCGAAAAACGACATTTCAGCAGGAGAGTCCTTTGGCGATTCGTACACTTTCGGAATCGCCGGGACTGGCGGGACGTCCTCTTCATCATCCGCATTGGTAGGGTTATGCAAATTCAACGCCTTTGGGGCAGGTAACCTGGAACTCACTCCCTGCGAATTGCGCGCCTGAATTGAGCCAGTTGACGTCCGCACAGTATTGAAACTGTTGGTCGAGCCGACCGATAGGCCTGAGCTATACGACTTCCTGTTTGGATCTGGTGTGGTTCGAGACGAAGAAGGTGTCGAGATCTTACGTGGCAGCATGGATGGAGAGCGGGACGAAGACCGCACTTCTGTTGCCAGAGGCATCGGGTTCGCCGACACCTGGGATTGACCTTGGGTCTGCCCGTTGACGTGATGCATGTTTGACATGCGCTTCATCCTTCTTGTGTCGGTGGGACTGATCGTTCTAGCACCCAATCCGGTAGCATGAGAAGCGTGAGGAACGCCTGGCATGACCGACGTTCGCTTTCCCGAAGGCGTTGACCCTCCGGTACCTCCCCCCTTCACAGCGGTCCGGGGCGATCGAGGCATAGCCATTGATATGTGGCTGTGATCCGGCGTGAGGATGCTCGTATCCGGAGAAAGCATAGACTGACTAGCCCTAGGTGGTGGTTGCACGGACCTCGCTTTCGAAGCTCGCGAACCCGTGAGATTCCGCGTTGTATCCCCAAAGGGACGAGAACCACCGTCGATAGATGAGCGCGTGGAATCCGCGCCATTTCTGTCCGTTAAAGACGCCATGCTTGGCCTTCGCTTTCGCCCC